CCCCCCCTGCAAGCCCGGCCCGGCCTGCTGCGGCCTACGAGATGGTCAGCCCCTCGCCGAGCGCCAGGCTGGCCCGGCAGCAGGCCCGGCAGCAGGCCCGCCAGGAACCTCGTCGGCGCGGTCTGCGACCCCAGTGCAGCGCACCCACGCCCCGCCACGCCCCGGCCGCGGCGAGATGCGGACCACGGACAGGCGTTCTGTGAGGCGGCCGTAGCCTCCCGCAGGGCCTGATCGTCGTCCTGGACGGGCGTTCTGTGAGGCGGCCGTAGCCTCCCACAGGGCCTGCTCGTCGTCGTGCTCATGGAGTGCGTCCGTCCCGTCTGAGCCACTGCCACGTGTGAGACGAGCCGGCCAACATGAAGCGGCAGGATCAGCTCGGCAGCAAGGGCAACGTGGGCAGCAGCGCGCAGTCGCTGCAGCCCATGAGCAGCGAGTTCTCGCTCTCGTCGCTCGAGAAGCGCTTCCTCCTGCTCGCCGAGCGGGGTGACGTCGCCTCCGTCAGAAAGTAAGTACAAGGACGGCGGCGAGGCAGCCCTCCCTCCCGCTGGCTGGCTATCCTCTTCCGAACAAATCTCGCTTCCATACCAAAAGATTCCCGATAACGACCAAGTGCATGAGGTCTCCTGGCCTCCAGCCCTCCAGTCGCGGGTGGGCTTTGTGCCGGAGATGCTCAACGGGATCAACAACATGAACCTGCGCGCGGTTGCTGCCGACTGGCTCTAAGCCCCTTGTGTGTCTGTGTGTGTACGCGTGCGCCCGCAGGCTCCTGGAGGACAACAAGGACAAGCCGGATGTGCTCAACATCAACTGCGTGGACCCGCTGGACAGATCCGCGCTCATCGCCGCCATCGAGAATGAGAACGCGGACCTTATCCGGATGCTGCTCGACTACAACATCCAGGTCAAGGTGAGGGAGATGGTCGGTACTAGAGGCGTCTGGTAATGATGTGCTGGTACTGAGACCGATACTGCGCCGCAATACACATGGGACGAGTGATGCCCTCGTTTCATTTGTAGTGCGTGTCTTTTTTTCCCTTTCTTTTTTTTTTGTACCTCCGGCGCTTCCGACAGCTCCCTTCCCCCTATGGGGGCGAAGCCCCGACCTACTACCTGCGACAAACGCAGCCCCCAATCCCTCCCCATACGTTCCACCCCTCCCCTCTCTACCCACCACCCTCTCCTCACCCCATCCCCGCTCTCACACTCTGCATCCCAATTCCCCCTCGTGCTTGCAATTCGAATAAATTTCCCCGCGGATACAGTGTCTAAAGGCCAAACCAATCACGCCACCACGCCACGGTGCTCCTAACGACATTGAGGAGGGGGGTGGATGCGAGTCTGCAAATCTACAAATCCGCGCGCGTGTCCCTCCTCTTCCCCCCCCCCCAACCCCTACCAAACACAGACAGATTCACAAACACAAGTCGCCGGCCGTGCATGACTTGTATCCCGCGCCCATGGTCGTGATCAAAGTCTCTACCCCCTTGCTCCCCCTGTCCAGGACTCTCTCCTGCACGCCATCAAGGAGGAGTACGTCGAGGCCGTGGAGATGCTGCTCGAGTGGGAGGAGAAGATCCACGTGCAAGGACAGCCATACGTGAGTAATAGCAGTGATCTCCGAGTTACTAAAGCTTCGACTTTGGTCGGAATAAAAAGAGTGTGGTCCGCGAGGGAGCGGTCGAGAAGTAATAATGTCTCGCCTCTGTTCAGAGTTGGGAGGCCGTGGATCGGAGTTCGTCCACCTTCACCCCCGACATCACCCCGCTCATTCTCGCCGCACACATGAACAACTACGAGATCCTCAAGATCCTCCTCGACAGAGGCGCCACGCTGCCCATGCCGCACGACGTGCGGTTCGTATATTTTCGTATCACGGTTTTTTGAAAATTGACGTTTTAAGTGTGCCCGTAATGAACGTTCCTCAAACGTTCCCCGGCACTGTGGCGCTCAGGGCGGGCCGCCGTCTCCGCACAGCTGCACGGCGGGTCGGCCTACCCGGCGCGTCGCAGGCGCCATCGTGGGCGTCATTCCGGGCCGGGAGAGGAAGAGGCTCACTGCTAGGGCACCTGCACCGGAAACCCAAGTGTGAAAATGTCGCGAATCTTGTAGATGTATGAACACTATTCGTACAAATGGGCAACCCTACACCTAAAAGTGTGCGACATTCATACACTTGCGTTCCTAGTGTGATCAGAGAGACGAAGGGCGGCGGAACCAAACTGTCTTCCGGTGTGTGCGTGCAGGTGCGGGTGCGACGAGTGCATCTCGTCGAGCTCGCAGGACTCGCTGCGCCACTCGCAGGCGCGCATCAACGCCTACCGCGCCCTGTCGGCGCCCTCGCTCATCGCCCTGTCGTCGCGCGACCCGCTGCTCACCGCCTTCGAGCTCTCCTGGGAGCTGCGCCGCCTCGCCAAGATGGAGGCCGAGTTCCGCGCCGAGTACAACGTGCGTGTCCGGCACCATAGCGACCGACAAGCCAAGGGGTGCTTTACTCAAAAAGTTTACAACTCTAAAAAGAAATCAGAAAGAACCAATTAACAAGTCCAATAGGATCAGAACAAGTAAAGAAAAAAGATGATTTAGAAAGAAAAAGAAAAATTGGTGTACGCTTCAGTTTGTAGTAAAGTACCCCTCCGGCGCAAGATTATGAAACCCAGAAAAACGGAAAGCGGTAGCAGCCATCATATTGGCCAGCTCGGTCACGGGGACCAGGGACTACCATAAAATAGTGTTGAAGCAGCATTACAGTTTTGACTACTTAGTCACATCCCTAAATGAATCATACCAAGCACGAGACCAAGCACAATAACTAGTCCTAGTCATTATTTTGGGTAGACAATGAGCAGACTGGGTAATGTTTCGTGTTTCCCTGCCCCATCATCAGGAGATGCGCGGTATCTGCCAGACGTTCGTGACGTCCCTCATGGACCAGGCGCGGACCTCAAACGAACTGGAAATTATGCTCAACTACAACCCCTCGGGGGACAACTGGGAGCCCGGGGAGAGGCAGACCTTGGAGCGGCTCAAGCTCGCCATCAAGTACAAACAGAAGCAGGTGAGCCCTTTTTATGTGACTCGGGGTGTCTACATGTGTGAGAGTACGCGATATTTACCGTGCGGGTGTGTCGCAGTTCGTGGCGCACCCCAACGTTCAGCAGCTGCTCGCCGCCATCTGGTACGACGGCCTGCCCGGCTTCCGGCGCAAGTCAATGGTGGGCCAGCTCATTGAGGTGGGCAAGCTGGGCGCCATGTTCCCCGTGCTGTCCACCATCTACATGTTCGCCCCGTACTCGGAGAAGGGCCAGTTCATGAGGAAGCCCTTCGTCAAGTTCATCTGCCACTCGTCCTCGTACGCGTTCTTCCTCAGTAGGTGTTGTGCCCACCGTGCCCGAGCCCCCCTGCTATGTCGGACCCCTGCTGCCACCCTCGTGTTCTTGTCGCAGTGCTCCTGGCGCTCGCCTCTCAGCGGCTTGAGTACCTGCTCATCGAGTGGTTCGGGCCCGACTGGATGCAGGAGATCCTGGCCGACTGGAAGCGTCGCGAGCGGGGCGCGCTGCCGGGCATCGTCGAGTTTGCCGTCATTTTATACGTTTTTAGTGAGCGTCGAAACAGTTCAAATGAAAGTGGCCATTATTGAGTGCTCTACAATTTGAAATGTGTTGATGCCGTGTCTCTCTCTTTTTGCCAGGTTTAGTCTGGAATGAGATGTGCTCCCTGTGGTCCGAGGGACTTCTCGAGTACATAGGTGACTTGTGGAACATAGTGGACTTCTGTACAAACTGTTTCTACATGACGTGGATATTCCTACGCGCTACCTCGTGGTGGTTGGTCAAGGTCGACCTGTGGAACGGTCAAAACCCTTACTACCCAAGAGAGGCGTGGGACCCATTCGACCCGATGCTGCTCTCTGAAGGCGCCTTTGCAGCTGGAATGATTTTCAGGTAAGCTATTTAACAGGATAGGCCATATATACCCCGGAATGTTGAACGTTACTAAATTGTGCCCCGGGGTCTGTCGGCCAACCCGATTACAGGAAGGGACACCTACTGTCGATCCGATCAGACCCCCCCCCCCCTCCCCCTAATGTCTTCTTATAAGCTTTGGGTAGGTGTCGAGCTGTGTCGCCCATAGCGCTGGAGGCGTTTCTATTCCTCGCTCAATGAGCATTCTGAGCAGCCATTACACTTTCTCTCTTTTCACAGTTTCCTCAAGCTGGTCCACATATTCAGCGTTAATCCTCACTTGGGGCCGCTTCAGATCTCACTTGGACGCATGATCATCGACATTCTGAAATTCTTCTTCATCTACACGCTCGTCTTGTTCGCCTTCGGTTGCGGTGAGCGCATTCATGAGCGTAAGCACAAACACGTCAAAGTTTGCGTCTGTGGTTCCCTAATGTAGGTCAAATTGTCCCCTAAGGTATGAATCAGCTTCTGTGGTACTACGCGGAACTAGAGATGAAAAAGTGCTACCACCTGCCCGATGGGACAGCCGATTTCGACAACAACGAGAAGGCGTGCACCATCTGGAGGCGCTTTGCCAAGTGAGTAGGGAAGCTGCTCATAGGCGTACCCGCCCAGCCCTTACAGCCCCCTCGAGCTTGCTCATAAACAACGGGCCTTGCGTGTTGCAGTCTTTTCGAGACGTCGCAGTCGCTGTTCTGGGCCGGTTTCGGCCTCGTCGATCTCGTCTCGTTCGAGCTGCAGGGCATTAAGAGCTTCACGCGCTTCTGGGCTTTACTCATGTTTGGCTCGTACTCCGTCATCAACATCATCGTGTTGCTCAACATGCTCATCGCCATGATGTCCAATTCGTACCAGATCATTTCGGTGAGCGGGGCCCCTTGCGCACAGTTTCTTTTCGTCTACTTCCTAACTGACGCATTTCATTTCCGTCGCTTTCCCTCAGGAACGCTCGGACACGGAGTGGAAGTTCGCGCGATCGCACCTGTGGATGTCGTACTTCGAGGAAGGCGGCACCCTCCCACCGCCCTTCAACCTCGCCCCGACGCCCAAGTGGATCAGGAAGACGCTCGGGTTGTCCGAGCCGGGCAAGCGGTCTGGCTCCGTCAAAGTGAGTGGATGGAGTCGGGCGCGTGGAGTATCGCTATGGACGGCCCGGTCGATACCCCGCTCCGCGCCGTGACAGGGGTATCGCCGGTCCGCAGGGCGGGGCGGAGGTCCAGGAAAGGGTTAAAAATTTCCGAAAAGTTTTCGGAAAACTTCAGCAGGAAAATTTCCGATTTAAAATATTATTTTTTTTAATTTTCGGAAAATTCCGGAAATTTTCCAAAAATTTGCCGAAACTTCCCAGGACTTCCAGCCTTAGGCTAGGGCGGCAGTGACGGTCCTCTCTGCTCTGCTCGCAGAACAAAAGCCGCGAGCGCGCGCTGGAGCGCCACGACGCCGTCATGCGGCTGCTGGTGCGGCGCTACGTCACAGCCGAGCAGCGCAAGCGGGACGAGTTCGGCATCACCGAGGACGACGTCATGGAGATCAGGCAGGACATCTCCACGCTCCGCTTCGAGCTCATCGACATCCTCAGGAACAACGGCATGAAGACGCCGCAGGTCGACGCCGACTCCTCTGGAAGTAAGTACGGCTGAACGTGCGGGGCCCGTCGTCACCTGTGAGCGCCTGTGAGAGTGCGGGTAGGCAACCCAACCTGCCGCCACGGCGGGCGGCTGCCGCGCGCCGCGCTCTAGGCGCTCGCACTGCTAACAGCAGCCAGCCTCCCTCCGGCTCGGAGGAGCACGCTGCCGCTTCTCAACTTATTCCTCCGAGGCGGTCTGGTGGTCTGGTGGCCTTGCGGGAAGGTAAAACATTTGGCCGGTTGTTGGCACCGGAGGCGGCGGAGGGAGGCGCGGTAAAATAAATATGAATCAGGTCGCCGGGGCCGGGACCGGGGACTAGCAACGAGGCGCTCTCCTGTTTAAACATCGCACTCGCGCCCTCCGCGCATCCTCCCTCGGGGTCCAGACGCCCAGGTCACCGACCATCGCTAATCAACCTGTCTCTGTGTTGCAGTCGCCGGCAAGAAGGGACGCGTGATGGAGCGGCGCCTGCTCAAGGACTTCCAGATCGGCATGGTCGAGGGCATCGTCAAGGACGCCATCTCCAACGAGAAGGAGCCGAAGGACGTGTTCAGCAAGATCGCGCGCGCCATCGGGCGGCGCACGTCGGGCAGCCAGAGCCAGAAGAAGGACTGGAACGCCGTGGTCCGGAGGAGCACGATCGCGCGCGATCCCATCGGCAGCACGACGGAGGGGGCGTTGCGGCGCTCGCGCCAGTCGCTGCGCCGCTACATCCTGGAGAACCAGGGCGAGGCGCTGCAGTCTATGGACCCGGAGCGCCTGCTCGAGTACAACCCCAAGCTGTCGCTCGTCTCGCCGGCGGCGCGAGTCGCCTACGCCAAGTTCAAGATGAGCAAGATCAAGCAGGAGTACGACATCAAGGAGGCGTCTGGGGACGCCGACGCCGTTTCGCAAACCGGGGACGCGGCCAAGTCGCCGCCGGCCAAGGGCAAGAGCGGGACGGGGTCCCAACCGCCATCGCAGCCACCGTCGCAGCCGGGCTCCCAGGCGGGGTCCATCGTGCGGCCCAGGCCCAAGAGCTCGCTCCCTGGTCCAGGGGCGGTTATCGGCAGCCTCAAGAAGCCAGACTCGGTCACCGTGGACATCGAGCCGGCGCCTCCAACCCCGCCGCCGTCCACTTCAGTCGAAGCACCATCGCCCGTCACCGCCAGAGCAGCGCCCGAGGCCACCGCCAGCGCCGCCCCCGCAGCAGCAGCTGACGAGGAAGAGACACCCGCGGGACCGGCCAAGGACACGCTCGGGAAGGCGGCCAGCATCAAGCAGGACTTCCGAGCCAGGACGCCCATCCCCGAGGAGGACGAGGACTCCAAGACCCCCTCGCAGACCCGGCCGCCGACGCCCGCTCAGCCCGCAGACCAGAAGAAGCCCGAGAAAAAGGAAGAGAAGGAAGACTCACCCGTCAGGAGAGGAGCGGGGCCGCCGAAATCGGGAGGGAAATCGAAAGTCTCTGGTCAAATCCTCACCGGCTGGCTATGATCTTTATCCAGCACCTGTTAGATTTTCTTTCACATTTTCATTAAAAATAATAAGAGGCAGGCACAGTGTAATTTTAAAGCAATTTTTACACGGAGAAAAATACTTTGGTTGCTGTAACTAAAATGGTGTTCAATCTGCCCCCTGAGTCATAATCATAGAACGTTCTATCGTGCTGACTGGAGTGTTTGGTTGGAGCGTCTAAACGCCCAGCCAGCACGATAGAACGTTCTATGGATATGACTCAGGGGGCAGATTGAACACCCCTTTAGTTACAGCAACCAAATTTTTCGGTCGTGGTGACCAAACATTTTTCTCAGTGTAGTTGCATGGCTCAAAATCCGATCGGGAAGTGACATTTGTAAACTCCTCGGGACCAAGAAATGACAATACTGCCAACAAAAAAATGTAAGTTTCCTGCCCCGTTGTTATTGTAGTAATAAACAAATAATACTAAAAATGTCGTCAATTATTCACCTTGCTTAACTCACATGTGCAAAATAACATTTTATAAATTATCGTGAAGCAAAGAACACTTTCAAACATTTCACACAACAAACGTACTTTTTATTTATTCTGGTGCCAATACGATTCCGCTGCAAGACAATCGGAACCTGAAGCAAGAAGAAAAGCATGCCTGTCCGATCTGTTTCCACCTGAACGCTGATTGGTCGACGATGACGTCGGTGCGGCAGACAGCCAATGAGAGCGCAGAAGGAAACGGATCTAGAGGTCATTCCTTTTCTTCTCTCGGTATTTATTTCCCTGCAACGGAATACCCTATTGAGATAGGTCACAAAATCAAGTTGACGAGGAGACTGCATATATGGCGACGCGGCTATAGAGCAATAACAGTCGCTTGCCGCTGACTCTGCACCCTCTGCACTCGGACTGAGCGCAGGTGTGCGGTGGCGCGGCGGCGGCGTGGCCGTGGATGGTAACACTAGCCGGGAGGGCTGTGGCTCATCTGAAGCCCTGCAGTCCCTTCCCATCCGGGCCCTCGGCCCCTCGGCTCCCCCTCGACCCGCCCCCCGCTGCCGCCCCCGACCGCCGGGGCTGGGCGCTCAACAGTCGGCCCACCCTTTCCGACACCTACATTGGATGCTTCGGGGAGGAGGCCCGGATGTGGGCCAGCGCTGCAGACTAAAGCTCCTCGTGAACGCCCCCCGCGGCCGGCGACGTCGCTCCGCAGCTGCGGCCATACTGCGGGAACGACGGGAGTCGTCGTCGTGGTCGGGCCGCGGCAGCTCGCCTCCACGTCGTCCACGCACCCCACCTTGTCCTCCTTGCCGGCACTCGTACCCTGTTGCTGTCGGCACGTTCACCCCAGCCCAGCCCACGCCCACACGCGGACCGACTCCCGTCGCTACTGTCCGGGTAGACGTCGGCCTGTCAATGTGTCTCCTGCTCGTTGTGCTCATCGGATTTTAATAAAAACTCGATAAGGGTATGGGGGGTATGTTGTACGCAGGAGGCTCGGCCACTGACCTTCAGATCCCCCCCCCCACCTCCACCTCGTCTCCCCTACAATTCTTCCCCGGCCATTGCCAGCTTTATCGCGAAACCAGTCGATAACCATCAGAGGAGAGGGAGCTGAAAACAGAATCGCCCTGCCCAGCGGGCCTGGCGTCGGAAGGGCCCTCCTGGCGCGGGAATGGTTATGGACTCTTTCACCGACAGAACGAAAGTCGTCGCCGCGTCCCTTTGTGAAGCCCCGTCAGTCGCTGCTCGCCCTTTGGCACCCGCGCAGCCCGTCACGTGAAGGGAGGCGCGCGGCCCACCCCGGCCCGCCGCGCCCCACCACGCCCCGCCGCGCCCCGCCCCGCCACGCACCTTTGGGGCGCGGCGCCAAGCAGTCACTAAAGCAGCGCACCACATGACCGGACATGGAGCCGCGCAAGAGGAGCACCGCCAGCGTGAGTACCCAGAGTGACGGACAATCAGTTCATGTCGCCTCTCCTCGCCGCCGCAGCTGCGGATCGGCCACGCTGCACCGCGTGCCCGCACGCGTCACAGGGGCCCGCGATACGGCGGCTGGCGCCAGTGCTTTCAGCAGTTTTGAACGAGCGCACAAATGTCATCTTGTCTTGGAATCTCGGCGCGTCACAGCCAATAAAAGAACGAACGCCCCGACGCAGAGTACACAGTTTTGGCAGAGACGCTGACCGGAATAAAGACGATCGTAAAAATCAAAAACATTATGCGCTCGATGATGTAACTGTCTGACCATTGTGTCCAGCTGGGGTCACTCGGCGGGCCTCCCCGCCCGGTCCCGGACGGTGTGGGGGGCTCCGTGTCGGTGCAGGTGGACGGCGGCGAGGGGGCGGCCCAGCAGCAGGGTGCGCCGCGGAACATCAAGATGCCCGCCCTGCCGCGGCCGCTCAGCCTGGAGGAAAAGCGCTTCCTGCTCGCCGTGGAGCGCGGTGACATCGCCGCGGTGCGCAGGTGAGGTGACGCTGGTCCTCCGGGGTCAAGGCCGGGATGTTGTTCGTTGAGCCGTGTTGTAAGACCCACGATTCAATCGCCTCAACCGCCCTTTACAGGATGATCCAGCGCTCGGAGCGCACCAAGTCGCTCAACATCAACTGCGTGGACCCGCTGGGCAGGGGTGCCCTCTCAATCGCCATCGACGGCGAGAACTTCGACATGGTGCAGCTGCTGGTCGTGATGGGCGTGACGACGGGCGACGCGCTGCTCATCGCCATCGACGCGGGCTTCGTGGAGGTGGTGGAGCTGCTGCTGGAGCATGAGGAGCTGGTTCACAAGGACGGCGAGCCCTACGTGCGCAACGTTTCATAAGTCCCATCGTCCCCGACTGACACATTCTCTGTGCGTTCGTATTCAACACACTCGAGCTGTATCTCACCGTCTGTAAACAGAGCTGGGAGAAAGTGGACTGGAACGTGGCCATGTTCACGCCGGACATCACGCCGCTCATACTGGCCGCCCACCGCAACAACTACGAGATCCTCAAGATCCTGCTCGACCGCGGCGCTACCCTGCCCATGCCGCACGACGTGAAGTGCGGCTGCGACGCCTGTCTGCGGGAACAGCGCGTGGACTCGCTGCAGGTGAGGTGGGAAGGGGGGGGGGGGAGGTGTCAAGCTGGTTACGAGTCATTTTGCGTTGGAACGACCGGCTCGATACCTCTGTTGAGGCTCTGGATTTGGCAAGCATCAAGCATATCTTACAATCTCCTTTTCCCAACTATTTTGCTGCTATTTCTACAAATATCGATTTCGGCAATGATGCGTCTGCTTGTGCCGTGTTGGCGCTCTGTTCTGCACTCTCTTCAGCACTCGGCCGCCCGCCTGTCTGAGTACCGCGCGCTGTCCAGCCCCTCCCTCATGGCCCTGTCCTCGGCCGACCCGCTGCTCACCACCTTCCAGCTGTCCTGGGAGCTCCGTGGCCTCGCCACCGCCGAGCCCGAGTCGCGGGCCGACTACCTGGAGCTGCGCAAGAGCTGCCAGCAGTTCGCCGTCGACCTGCTGCAGCAGATACGCTCCTCCACCGAGCTGGCCGTCATCCTGAACCACGACCCCACCAGCCCGCCGTACGAGGACGGCGAGCACATGAAGCTGGCCCGCCTCGAGCTCGCCATCCTGTACAAGCAGAAAAAGGTAAGGGTCGCTCCGAAGCGTGGTGGTGGTGGTGTGAACTTGGGTGCGAACCTCGGTGTAGGCCCTGCCTGACGTGTCCGGCCTGTGCATCGCAGTTCGTCGCGCACCCCAAGGTGCAGCAGCTCCTCGCCTCGCTGTGGTACGAGGGCCTGCCGGGCTTCCGGAGGAAGGGGCTGCTGGGCAAGTTCCAGGACCTGGCGCTCATCGCCCTCCTGTTCCCCTTCTACTGCCTGCTCTACATGGTGGCGCCCACGTCCAAGATCGGCCAGCACGTCCGCAAGCCCTTCATCAAGTTCCTGCTGCACGCCTCGTCCTATCTCTTCTTCCTGCGTGAGTCGTGTTGCGGAGGCGATCAGGGTAGCTAAACGCTTGCTTGGCCACCTCGACGGCCCAAGCTAATCCATGACGGTTGTGCTCCAGTCATCCTGATCCTGGTGTCGCAGCGGCTGGACGTCAAGGTAATGGCGTTCTTCGGCAGCACGGACATGATCGAGCGGCAGCGGGGGAACCCGCCGGCCCCCCTCGAGTGGGTCGTCTTCGTCTACGTTCTCGGTAGGACCTGCTGTGTTTTCTTGTCAACTGAACGGGCGTGGGCGGCGGGCGTGTTTCTACGGCTGTCTCTCCCACCCTCAGGGTTCATCTGGGAGGAGACGGCGGAGATGCTGCGGGAGGGGATGCGGCGCTACCTGCGCAACCTGTGGAACTTCATCGACTTCTCCCGCAACCTGCTGTACGTGCTGTGCTTCATGTCGCGCGGCGCGGCCTACCTGCAGCAGCGCGAGGAGGTGGCCGCCGACCCGCAGAGCGCCTTCATCCCCCGCGAGCGCTGGTCCGAGTTCGACCCGCAGCTGGTCGCGGACGGCCTGTTCGCCGCCGCCAACATCCTGAGCGCCCTCAAGCTGGTCCACCTCTTCTCCATCAACCCGCACCTCGGCCCGCTGCAGATATCGCTGGGCCGGATGGTGAACGACATCGTCAAGTTCCTTTTCATCTACAGTCTCGTGCTGTTTGCCTTCGCCTGTGGTGAGTAGTGCGCGTGTTGTTCGTCGCGGGCGTTAACCAGCTGACTCCAACGTATTTTGGTCATTAGGGATGAACCAGCTTCTGTGGTACTTTGCGGAATTGGAGCGACAGCGCTGCTACAGCCTGCCCAACAACCAGCCCAACTGGGACGAGCACGCGGACTCCTGCACCAAGTGGCGTAGCTTTGCAAAGTACGGCAGGTTATGAAAACTATTTTCGAAACTGACAGTGACTAACACCGCATAATTTTCTCTAGCCTACTATGATTATTTAAATTATCATACACATAATTACCCCACACCGTAAATGCTTAAGGTACAAGAGCGTACGATTTTAAGGTAGGGCAGAACCGATGTACGTTAAGTAAGGTACGGGATTCCCGTACCTTACGGCTAAGGTACGGGCGTGCGGGCTTGGCGGGCGCTCCCCCCACCACGCTCTCCCCACCACACTGCGCTGAGTGTTGCCTACCCAGCACGGCGCCCCCGTTCGGTTCGCCTGTACGATACG